AAAATGCAATGATTTGCAAATTTCATAAACTCATAGTTTATGCAAAATAGAAAATAGAAACGTATCAAAAGTTTAATCTGAGAAAATGTACCATTTTAAGAAAAAATAAAAATTTTGAAAATGATGGCAGCAATATGTCTGAAAAAAGTTGGGACAGGCTATGTTTACCATGGTGTAGAATCCCTTTTTTTTTCTAACAACTCTCTGTAAATTTCTGGGAACTGAGGAGACCAGTTGCTGGAGTTTTGGGACAGGAATTTTGTCCTATTTTTGCCTGATCTAGGATTCTAACTGCTCAACATACTGGGTCCTCTTTGTTGTATGTTTTGTTTTAGGATGTGTCAAATATTTTTAGTTGGTGAAAGGTCTGGACTGCAGACAGGCCAGTTCAGCACCCAGACTCTTCTAGTGTGAAGCCATGCTGTTGTCATAGATGCAGTATGCGATTTAGCATTGTCCTGCTGAAGTGTGCAAGGCTTTCCCTGAAAAAGATGCAATCTGGATGGGAGATGCTGCTCTAAAACCTGGATATACAGTATCTTTCTCATTCCATACACACTAATGCACCACCATACCATCAGAAATGTAGGCTTTTGAACTGAGTGGGGATAATGAGTCGGAAGATCCCTCTCCTCTTTAGGCCATTTAGAAGATTGAGGCACCCAAGGTTGCCAAAGAGAATGTAAAATTTTGATTAGTCTGACTACAGAACAGTTTTCCACTTTGCAACAGAATATTTTAAATGAGCTTTGGCTCAGTAAAGATGGCAGTGTTTCTAGATCATGTTCAGATATGGTTTCTACTTTCCATGATAGAGCTCAACCTTGCATTTTTGGATGGCAGGGCAAACTGTGATCACAGACAGTGAGTTTTGGAAATATTCTTGAGCCCCTGCAGTGATGTCCATCATCCATGTACATCCAGAATCATGCCTGTTTTTAATGCAGTACTGTCTAAGGGCACGGGAAGATCACAGGCATCCAATATTGCATTTCAGCCTTGGCTCTTGAGCACAGAGACATTTTTCTACATTCTTGGAATCTTTTGATGGTATTATGAACTGGAGATGATGATATATGTAAAGTCTTTGCATACATTGAGAAACATTATTCTGAAATTGTTTGCCAATTTTTAGACTCAGCTTTTCACATATTGGTGGTCTGCTCATCTTTACGTTTGAGACACTGATTCGCTAAGATGCTCTTTTTATACCCATTTATTGTTACTGACCTGTTGCCAGTTATCCTAATTAATTGCAAAATGTTTTTCTAGCTCTTCCTTCATAGTACCATGTACTTTGCCTGTTTTTGGTTGCCCTGTCCAAACTTTTTTGAGACGTGTTGCTTCTACCAATTTCAAATTTCAATTTAAATTTGTCCTTAATTTTTTTTCTTAAAATGGTAGTTTCTTAGTTTAAACATTTAATATGTTTTCTATTTATTATTGAAAAATAAAAATAAAATATGGGTTTATGAGATTTACAAATCATTGCATTCTTCTTTTGTAAATTTTAAACATCATGCATGTTTTCTTTATAGTAGAGCATCAGTACAAGCATAAACTTTTAAAGAAGTGTTTTTTTAGTCTAGTAATTGTCATTTACTGTAATTGTGAATTAATTAACATCAGTGCATATTCAAGTTCTGTAGTATAATTTTCAGTCAGGAGGTAAAGCTTTATCATTATCATATTTTTCATTTTCTTCTTGACTTTTGTTGACAAAAGCTTGCTTACAGAGATCAGTAGCTTAGACAGACCAATGAGTGCCCCCCACGACCAACAACATTCCTCCCTCTGAGTAGCTCAGGCTTTATTTAGAGATAGTAAATCTGAAAGGAGATAACTTCTGCTCTGCTTCAAAACCACAGTGCCTTGAAAACTCTTAGACATTTTTCCATTTTGTGCTGGCTGTCATGAAGCACATATCATTCATTTGTTTTTTGAAGAATAAAAGACTAAATAACTCTGTTTGTACCAGGGCTTTGGTATCCCCCAAAGTATATCAATCATTGTTGGGTGATATAAGGCAAACCCATATACAGTATTATGTTTGACACAACCCTTTAAACTCTCACATCATTATGTATATATACATTTGCATGAGTATGTATTGAGTAGGTCTCCCTTTTACCGCTAAAACATAGATGCTTCATCTACCAAGTCATAGTAGCAAATCCTTTCATTCCTGTAAGTTGCGAGGTTGGGCCTCCATGGATAGGACTTGTTTTTCCAACACATCCCACAGATACTCGTTTGGATTGAGATCTGGAGAATTTGGTAGTCAATACCTCAAACTCATTGTTGTGTTCTTAAAACCATTCTTGAACTACTTTTGCACCTTGGCAGTGCACATTATCCTGCTGAAAGAGGCCACTGCCATCAGGGAATACCATTCAAATGAAGGGGTGTAGCTGGTCAGCAACAATGTTTAGGTAGGTGGTACATGTCACGACCCAAGGTTTGCCAGCTGAAAATGCAAGCATGCTTGCATACTCTGAAGGCTTGCCCTCTTCCTATACTGCATCCCATTCTGGTGCCATCTCTTCCCCAGATAAGTGATGCACGTGCACCTGCTTATCTGCATGATGTAAAAGAAAGTGTGATTCATCTAACCAGGCCACCTTCTTCCATTGCTCCATGATCCAGTGCTGACACTCACATAGTCTCTGTAGGTGCTTTTGGCTCTGGATTCGGGTCAGCATGGACACCGTGAACAATCTGTGGCTGCACAGCCCCAAACTGTGATGCCAATGTTTTCTGCTTTCAACACATCAACTTCAGGAACAATATGTTTACTTGCTGCCCAATATAACTCACAGACATTCAGATGCCATTGTAATGAGATGATAAATGTTCACTTAGCCTATAGGTGGTCATAATATTATAGTTGATCAGTGTATACAGATACTTAAAGCAGAAGTCACTCTAGAATTACTCAAAAAAATGCAACAGCCATAAAACACATATACCTCAATAAATGCAGTATACCGTGTTTGACTTCTAGCTCTGCTCCTGCAATCCACAGTGGAAACTGAGGACCATTTACCAGAAACACGAGTCTGCACTCTGGCTGACCAACAATTAGCTTTGGAAATTGCCGGCAAAATATCCGTGCAACTCATGGCACTGCTCTCCCCCCCCACCACCACCACCACCACTACAACCACACCTGCTACCACATCTGGAAAGCATCTGGGCAAAGAAGAAGCATTTTCCAGTCAGGCTTTGCAACTATAAGACATAGATAGCATGGCTTTGCTAACTGACACCATTAGTTTCATGGTGTCACATGTACGGTATATTGCCGTCGCTGCTGATTGTTTTTCAACCAGAGTGCAGGTAAATGTCAAACATGGTGCTATACATTTATCAAGGTATGTGTGTTGTATGAATGTTTAATGTTGATAGAGTAATTCTAGGGTGAACTTTCACTTTAAAACAATATGATTGTTCTAATAAAAAGACTAGCTGGAATGTAACACACTCTTGGGATGAGCAGTTGATGGAAAAAAAGGCACAATAACACAAAGAATGAATAGAAAGGGAACACAGCTCAACCAGATGCCATAAATAGAACACAGGTCTAATGCAATCATATCACACTTTGCCACAAGATGGGCAATAGCATGGCAAACGTATAAAGCTTATAGAAAGATTGCTGCTAGAATTTTTTTTTAACTAATTTAAAAACTCATAATGGAAGGGCACATTACCTTAATGTCTAGTCTGACTAGTTTACAGGATATTCTGTCTCATAGAAATATATATGTAGAGAACAAAGAGCAGACAGAATTTCAACTATGGGAATATTAAGAGTTCCATTCCAACTGCAAAAGTCATTGCTAGCAGGCTCTTGACCCCAACACATCCCCCTGAGTAGTCACATTAAGGCAGCTTAAAAAACTATTGACATCCTAAAATGCAGTAGCATCATGTTGGAAAGAATTCTCTAAACCAAACCATTTTATCCAACATTTTTTCAACAAACCATAAAAATGTGGATTCCTAATAGCTTGTGTTGCATACAGTTTGGCAATGATCTATTCTGTTAAAATTTATACATTGTTGCTCTTAAAGATTAACTGTGCAGCAATATATAAAACAATGACAAGACTGTTATAAAATACGCTGTAGTCATAAGTGGAAAAAGTTATTAAAGGCAAATAATCACAGCGTAATTACTGTGTTTTACATAACGCAGAGTTTGCAGTTGCAGAAAAATCTTTGGTAAGCATTGTACTTTCCCTTGGCTGTGTGGGAATTACACAATAATAAAGCAAGTGTATTAAAAGTGTAATTAGATTGCTTTGCAGCATACAAACAAAAAGATTTGATAGTCAACTGAAAACTGCTATGGTTTAACATTAAGTGGTACACATTATGGATTCTAGTGTTGATACATCCAGTACGCATAGATATACAGACGTACCAAAAACATGCCAGCCCTTATTTATGTCTTTGAACCAAAACTCCAGTAAGCTGTGAAATACCCAACATAAATATATATATATAAGAGCTATATCACATGCCCACAGGATTCATAGTTCTGCATAGCCATTTTTTATGCAGGCACCCCTTCTAAACAGCACAGCCAGTTCTTCACCCTCATCTGAAGCAACAGCACAGCTTGGGCAAGAACACATTCCCAGTCTGCTGGCTGATCAGTAGCAAAGCAATGTATCATCATGTACATCTCATCTTCTGTTGTATATAGTTCTCAGCATAAATTCTTAGCTCATTACATGAAAGCAAGGGCTTAAAATTTCAAGTCCTGAGCTACTAGCCAGGCCTTAAGAATTACTCGCCACCGACAAACACACACAAACAGACACTTGTACACACATACAGACATGTACATACACACACAGAAACATGTACACACGCACAGAGGCACATGTACACACACACACATACAGACACATGTATACACACACAGGCACGTACAGACACGCATACACACAGATACATGTACATACACAGAAATACACATGCACAAACACATGTACATACACACAGACACATGTACATACCTACACAGACACATGTACACACAGACACATGTACATACATACACACATGTACACACACACATACACGCAGGCATATGTATAGATACACACATGTACATACACACAGACACATGTACATGCATACACAGACACACACAAAACACACACGCACGCCGTTAAGTGCTCTCTCATCTCACCTGAAGCCACCACTGGCTGACATAGAAGATCATGTGACCAGAGTGAGCTGAAATTAGACACACACACACACACGCGCGCGCACACACACACACCTCTATAAAAAGTTGCAGTACTTCGTTGTTCACTCACAGAGCCGGGTACTGCACTCTAGGGGGAGGCAGAGAACACAGCACAAACTCCTTCCTTTGCTATCACTGCGCTCAGCTATTGAGCAGTCTGACGGCTCCCAGTGCCAAAGACAGTGCCTGAGTTCCAAGCCTGCTCAGCAAGATGGCCCTGGGGACACACTCACCCCCACCATAATTTCCACTCGTCACTGGCAAGCAGGCGAGTGGAAATTTCAAGGCCTGGTTTATAATATAACTTAGATTACGAAATCTTCAGTTTTACTCAAATTAGTTGATGCAGATATGAATACACCCCACAACAAAAAAACTACTACATCTAGTATTTTGTATGACCTCCATGATTTGTAAGGACAGCACCAAGTCTTCTAGGCATGGAACAAGCAAGTTGGTGACATGTTGCAACATCTATCCTTTTCCAAGAACAACCTCTTTTAGAGGCTGGATGCTGGATGGAGAGTGAGGCTCAACTTGTCTCTTCAGAATTCCCCATAGGTGTTCGATTGGCTTCAAATCATTGTCATGTTGGAAAAGTGCACAACAACCAAGCACACAGAGTGATGGTAGTATCTTCTCTTTCAATATAGAGCAGTATATCTGTGAATTCATGATGCCATCAATGAAATGCAGCTCCCCGACACCAGCAGCACTCATGCAGCCCCACAGAAGGACCTTGCCACCACCCTATTTCACTGTAGGCACCATGCATTTTTCTTTGTACTCCTCACCTTTGCAAAAAATACTTTTTTCTGCATGCAAATTAACCTTGTTTGCAATCCATGGCCCCCATTTGTGGGAGTATTTTCTAGTATAGTGTCCCATAGAAAATGGTGATTCTGATAGAAAAGTAAAGGTTTTCTGACAAATCTGTTGGAGAGTACTCACTAATGCTGAGCACTTTGTGTGTGCACATGTGTGTGTGTGTATATATATATATATATATATATATATATATATATATATATATATATATATATATATATATATCTCAATACCCAGTGGAGGATGATGAAGGTAAAGCAGCAAGCCACTGCCTGCATTTCTCAAGGCAAGGACACAACACAAAATGCTTCCTAAATGCCCCCCCACACACACACACATGAACACTCCACCCAACACATCATGTCGCTCGCTGGCTATATTTGTGGTCCCTCTTGTGGAACATCTGTTCCTTGTATCTATATGCATTTGTCATTTTTGCATGGTGCTGAGGTTTATATGTGTCTGTCAGACTTTTCATGGCAGACTCGTGGCACAGTAATTACAGCTTACATTGTGGTTATAACGACTGTGTATACAGGAAGTGGGATATACACACACCATCATTTATTAGTACAGGATACCCAAGGGAACATAATCCTATTAAAGTGTCTCTGCTTGATACTGTTTCAACCCAAGCAAGCACTAATACAGCATATATTAGACAGCACTGGACTTTGTTCTGTTTGTTTCTTAAAGTGTTACTAAACCCAGGATCCTGCATTCACTCCATCTGGTCTCCCACAGTGCACACAACATGGAAATGCAATTATTTTAGTAAATATAAACTGCTAAATACCTTTTCTCATCAGCAGTTAGAGCAGTCTTGTGACTTTCTATCACTGTTCAGTAGAGCACTGGTTAAAGCTTGTAGGAGGAGTTTTCTTTCTGCTCTAGGAGGATGTAGAACCCCTGACCTCTGTCTGGACAGTGCTGATTGGCCCTGTGCTGATCACATGCATTCTCCCTAGAAAAAAAAACCTCTCTAGCAATACACACTAAACTGAGCATGTGCATGTGACTACGGGCTCAGTCTGCCTTATCAGGTAGGCATTTGAACAAGAGGAGGGGCAGGCAGAGAAAACAGGACCAAACAGCCTTTTTACACAATGCAGAGGATTATCCCCTTAGGTTCCACAGTACGTATATCAAGCATGATTTACTGCATATACAGACTGATTTTACTGTTGTGGGTTTAGTAACACTTTAAGCTGACAGCTACAGTACAGCTGGCTTTTATTTTGTCTACAGCCGGGTGAAGTTCCTCTCTAATGTGTGCAGAAAAGTATGGCATTAGGTTACTGATAAACCTCTTGTAGAATCATTCTGTCTTGCACCAATTAAAGTACACTGCCTACAAAGGCTTGCTTCTCTCCCTACAATGGTTGTTGGATGAACAAAGTTTCCTTGGAAATTATTTTTAAACTTTGGCAACTATGACTCATAGGCAAATGTCTTAAAAAAAATATCCTCTAATTGGACAGATCCCTTTCATCTCTCCGCCACTCCCACCCCCACCCCACAAATATTACCAGCTGATAATTCATGGTCAGTGCATTACTATTCATGCCCATTAATATTTCTGGCCATTATCCTTTAACCCTGGTGATGAATGTTCCTATATGTCTTTATGTGTTTTTTCTAGTTCAGGTTCCTGGCAGGTATGGCAGGCTGTAGACATATGCAACTCCTTGTCCCTGCTTTGCCTTTTTGTGAATAATGTTAACAAAGCCATTCCTAACTATCTTCTATTGGCTGCATCTATATGGGTTCCATCTTTATATGTGCTGACCCCTAACAAGCCCATTTCAAGAGCCAGTATTAGTGTTTCAGATAGAAAACAGTAGTGGCAACATAAGTAGATGAGTAATACTACTACTATAACTTATTTGCTCCAGTTGTAATAAGGCCTGGTAGTAGCTGCACCCAGTGGTCTATGAAACAGGAGTCCCACTGGTTGTTGATGAAGTATAGAAAAGGTGAAAAGAGGTGAATTCCTATTAGTTGAGTCTGGTATTTAGTAAAAACAGTTGCTTGGAGCTGAGCAGTCCACAGATACCTATTTAGTGTGAGGCAACAGGTCAGCTTTATTTCCCCACCCCTCCACAGCATATATTTACCTTTGCTTTGCTGGGAGCTAAAAGAAATTCCTGGTACTTCAGGTATGCAGTTGCATGCAACAAAGTCCATTTGACAACACCTTGGGGCAGTTTGGACTTTCACATGGGGAGTCCATAGTCCAGAGGTAGGCAACCTTTGAAAGGGGTCAGGAGTAAATATGGCAGTGTACAGAGGTCCTTAGGATGTGGGGCAATGTACAGAGGTCAGGAGAGGTTACTAGTAGGTAGGGCAGTATAGAGAGGTAAGTAGTAGTATGTAAGTCAGTATACAGAGGTCAGTAGAGATCAGTAGTAGGCAGGGCAGTGCACAGAGGTCAGTAGAGGTTAGTAATAGGTAGGGCAGTGTAGAGAGGTCAGCAGTATTTAAGTCAGTATACAAAGGTCAGTAGAGATCAGTAGTAGGTAGGGCAGAGTACAGAGATCAATAGTATGAAGAGAAGTGTGTAGAGGTCCATAGTATGTAGGGCAGTGTATAGAGGCCAGTAGTAGGTAGAGCAGTGCACAGAGGCTAGTAAAATGTAAATCTTTGTTCAGAGGGCAGTGTACTGAGGTCAGTAGTATGTAGGGCAGTGTACAGTGGGTAATAGGACAGTAAAAAAAAATGTCAGTATTATGAAGATCATTGGACAGGGGTGTACAGGGCAGAGGACAGGGGTAGTAGGACAGAGCACAGGGCTGGGCAGGGCAGAGGACTGGGGGTCAACAGGGAAGAGGACAAGGGATCAGAAGGGTAGAGAACTGGGAATCAGCAGGACAGAGGACATGGGGTCAGCAAAGCAGTGTACAGGAGGGCACAGTACAGAGGGCTCAGTAGGACACAAAACTGGGGGGTCAGGAGGGCATGGTACAGGGGAGTCAGGACGGCATTGTACATAGGGGTCAGGAAGGCATGATACTGGGGGGTCAGGTAGGCATGGTACAAGGGGTTCAGGAGGAGATGGTACTGGAGGTGAGGAGGTGCACAACAGGGGGCTCAAAAGGGCACACTACAGCAGGCTCATGATGACCCGGTACAAGAAGGTCAGGAATCCATGGTACAGGGGGTGAGGAAGGCAAGGTACAGAGGTGTCAAGAGGCATACCACAGGGGGCTCAAGAGGGCATACCATAGAGGGGGGTCAGGTGTGCACACCATGGGGGGTCAGGAGGGCACACTACAGGGGGTCAGGAGGGCACAGAAATGGTTTCCTGATGCAGAGCAGTGCATAGAAGCTGCTGTGGCAAATCTACCTGTTCTGGTGCACTGATCCCTGCTGGCCCTCCTTTCATGTCCACTCCACATAATGTCACACATGAGTGCCTTGGCTGAACCAAAAGAAAAGCCTGCGCTTCCCAAAAAAGAACACTGGCTTTTCTTTTGGTTTTCTCATTTGAACACTTGGGATAGTGTCATCCCAGAGGGAGACTGCAAAATACCATCAGCTCAAAGGCGCTTGGACAGGAGCCCAAACCTACCCAAGCTATCCCACCTGAATGCTGTCAAAGTCTCCAGCGAATCATAAGCAGCAAAGACATTCCCTTCCCTGCACCTGCACGTAAGCAAGTGGAGAGCTGCAGGGAAGGGAATGCATCTGCCACCTAGAATTGGCTTTGACAGTTTTCTGTCTTGAGTGCCCAGGTGACCATCATGCCTGACCACATCTCTTCCCTGGTCAGCTCTGCCACTCTGGGGGGTGAGCACTTGAGGGTCGGCAAGGCAGGGATGTGTATACAATTTAGCTGTCACCTGGCCATGTTCGACCCATGAATCATGATCGTCAGGTTACAAACCCCGCCATAGTCCTTTGTAAACTTTGACTTTCATGGAACTTTTCTCCTACGGGCTGAACAGAGCATCAGGACAATCAAGGGAATATGAAAACTTGCATATGTGTAGGTGTGCATTAAAGGATACGTTCACTTTTCATAACGTGTTACACTAATATTCAGGGTGTAACATGCAAAATGTTATGAAAGCTAGTGGGGGACCCCCCCCCCCCCTCCCAGCTCTCAAAAAAAAAAAAAAAAAAAACTTGGCCGTGTGATTTTCTACATCACTCATATGTGAATGAGAAACTACAAGTCCCAGCAGCCTTAGTAGCTGTCTGCTTGAAGTTCTCAATGATCTGCCATGGCACTCCACAGAATCTTGCTGTCAGTATATCTGCTTGCCTGTACATCCCGTATGGGCAAACAGATCAAGCAGATATACTTGCAGATATGCAGGCAAACTCCATGGTACCAGTGATCTATTGATCGCTGGTGCAATGCTTTACAGGCTCCTGCAGCAAAAAATAATAAATGCACATTTTTTTTACCTGCAAAAAAATATGCATTTATTATTTTTTACCAAAAGGTAAACGTATCCTTTAAAGTGAACTTATTGCTTTGTCACGTGTCCTTAAGGCAAAGGTTTACTGCATGGTTATTATCCATACCCCCACAGCAGCCATCCTATTTGGTTTTAGCTTAAAAGTAAAGTACCTTGTAAAACAACACATTCACTTTAACCACTTGCCTACCGGGCACTTATACCCCCTTCCTGCCCTTCTTTTCAGCTTTCAGCACTGTCGCACTTTGAATGACAATTGCGCAGTCATGCAACACTGTACCCATATGAAATTTTTTTCACACAAATACAGCTTTCTTTTGGTTAAATTTATTTTTTGAGCTATAAACAAAAAAGAGCAAACATTTTTTTTAAAAAAAAGTTGATTTTATTTTTAGAATAAATCTATTATAAAATTTTTAAATTAGATAATTTTTCTCCTTCACTGATGTGCATTGATGAGGCTGCACTGATAGGCGGCACTGCTGGGCACTGACTGGCAGCACTGCTAGGCACTGACTGGCAGCACTGCTGGGTGGCACTGATGGGGGGTACTGCTGGGCACAGCTGGGTGGCACTGCTGGGCACAAATGGGTTGTTCTGCTGGGCACAGGTGGGTGGCACTGTTGGTCATAGGTGGGTGGCTCTGCTGGGCACAAGTGGGGGGCACTGCTGGTCACAAATAGGTGGTTCTGCTGGGCACAGGTGGGTGGCTCTACTGGGCACAGGTGGGTGGCAATGCTGGGCACAGATGGGTGGCACTGCTGGGCACAGGTGGGTGGCTCTGCTGGGCACAGGTGGGTGGCTCTGCTGGGCACAGGTGGGTGGCACTGCTGGTCACAGATGGGTGGCTCTGCTGGACACAGGTGGGTGGCTCTACTGGACACAGGTGGGTGGCACTGCTGGGCACAGATGGGTGGCACTGCTGTTCATAGGTGGGTGGCTCCGCTGGGCACAGGTGGGTGTCACTACTGGTCACAGGTGGGCTCTGATGATCATTGCCGATCTGTTTGTTGACAATTGCCGGTTCTCGGCTGTTCTGTGACAACATGAGGAAAGTGCTGATAACCGGCACCTGCATTTACCTGGTGATCTGTTGTGTCATTGGATACAGCTGATCATGTGGTAAAAGGCCGCTGTGATTAGCCTTTTACCACATCATGTGATCAGCTGTGTCCATAGGACACAGCGATCATGAAGATCGCCGGGTGTGCTCCCCTGGGGGTGTGCGGGAGGGCACGTTCTGGGAGGACATCATATGACACCTTCCCAGAACTGGACATCCACGCTATAGCCGTCATTCGGCTATAGCGCGGTTGTCAAGTGTGTAAAATAGAAACACACAAGTCTGACCACTGGGGTACAGGCAGACTGTGCTCCCAAGTAGAATGCAATGAGGAAAACTGAGTTATCTGGGGTGGATGTGCTCTCATGCCTAGCATGGTCAGTTTGAAGTAGGAAAGCAGAAGGACTGGCAGGATCACCAGGAATTTCCTACAAAGAAAGCTATACAAAGAGAACAGGATACTTTATAATACAAGTACATGGTAACACAGACACTTATCAGACAAATGAAATGTTGGGGTAACATACCCTTTAAGGTTACAATTTTGTTGCTTTTAGATAATAAAGGTATTATAGGTAATAAAGGGACTACTCTTTACTTGTAATACCACCCCTACCCCCCCATAATTCCTTACTTATGAGGATATATAGGTTCTCAGTATACTTTTACATGTGGTATTGTGGATACTTTTAAAAGGTACTGCTCTGTAGAGAATATTCAATATTAGTCCATCCAACTTGTGCCAGGAACACAATGGTGCCATGCTTACCTAAGGGGTTCCAGCACTAAGATCTGTTTGTTGAAGATCTTGGCAGTCTTTCTGACACTGCCGCTTAATATTATGTTTAGCTTGGCCAGCAGTCAGCAGTCAAGCTCCGCCCACAAATTGTTTGTATGAATGATAGAAATGTCAGTAGTGTGACTTGGAGAAGCACTGCATGTCTACAGATCAGTCAAATGTTTGTGCTTGCTTAGCAGACTGTTGTTTTAGAAAAAAGTCATTTTGTTTCTTATTTTTAGATGCTCAAATGTGATACTGTGAGAACTATTTGCGATTTATTTTACTTTGTGGTTGATGTCTATTTATTTTGAATATGTGGTGTCTGTAAAACTGAAGTGACCATCAATTTATACTGCAAACACAGCGGAGAGCATTTTAGCGTATCTAACTATCGGTCTTTTCTCAACAAAGTTAATCATTACATGGTGTATTACTCCTGTATGCAAGCCTGCTTGCCTGCCATTTATTTTCTAAGATAGCCTTGGCAACCCATTCAAATGTAGTCTGAGGTTTGAGTCTTCCATCTAGTGGTGTATGTGAGCACAGCATTGCAGCATAGTAGCAAATGAGAACTGACAGGCTATGGCTGTTTCCCCTCTTTCACACAGTAACCACACAGAATTGTTTTTAAACATTTTTTGCACACGTCAAGTCACATCAACTCTTAAATGTACACCTTAAAGGAAAACCATAGAGAGAGGCTGTCAATGCTGAAAATGCATCTTCTGAAAATGCATTTTTTTGGCTGTCCCATGGTCCAACTTTTTATGAATTACTTATAAGGAAGCATACAGCCAGTTAAATCAGAATTAAGTCAGACACATGCTTCATGTGTGCTGATGCACTTCACTTGGATGTATTATTCATTTCCAATGTATCTGTCCTTCGATATTTTGCATGATATATGCTTAACCGCTTTCCCTCCGCTGTATAGCAGATATACTGCTACAGGGTGGCAGGGTTGCACAAAATCACGTGTATATATTATATACGTGATTTTGCATTTCCGCACGCCCTACCTGAGCCACTATTCAGTGATTGCTTGCCGGTGATTACTCGCTGGCACCTGGTGATCAAGGAGCATCACCGACAGAGGGAGAGAACTGTATGTAAACAATACAGTTCTTTCCCCTGTCAGCTCCTGCACACTGCTTTGCATGGCTCTGCATAGCAGAGCCATGCAAAGCAGTGTGCTTACAGTTGAAAGCACAAACACAGCCCACAGTAAAACAGCACACAGTTAACCCTTTGATCACCCCTCATGTTAACCCCTTCCTGCCCAGTGCCATTAGTACAGTATCAGTGCTTTTTATTAGCACTGGTCGCTGTATTGGGGTCACTGGAGATGTCAGTGACACCAAGTCAGTTCCCCCCAGTGTCAGAATGCCCTCCGCAGTCCCACTATAAGTCGCTGATCACCGCCATAACTAATAAAAATTAAACATAAAAATAAAAATCCCAGTATATATACCGCCATTTGGAAATGTTATAAGTTTCATGTAAACCAATTAATTTACATGTATTGGGATTTTTTTTTAGCAAAGACATGTAGCAGAATATATTTTGGCCTAAATTTATGATGACATTTGATGTTTTCATTTTACATTTTTTTTACTGGACATGCTTAATAGTAAATAGTCAAAAATATTGTTTTTTTTCCTCAAAATTGTCGGTCTATTTTTTTTTTTATAGCGCAAAAAATAAAAAACTCACAGGCGATCAAATACAACCGAAAGAAATCTCTATTAGTGGGAAAAAAAGGACGTAAATTTCATTTGGATGCAGAGTTTCATGACTGCACAATTGTCAGTTAAAGTAACGCAGCACCGTAACACACAAAAAAGGCCTGGTCAGGATGGGGGGTAAATCCTCTGGAGGGCAAGTGGTTAAAGTATATGTCTGGGGGAAAAACAAAAAAACAAAAAAGTATATAGTTGATAAATGTTAGTAAAAGACTAGCAGCAGAGGTAGTGGCAAAAATCATGAAATTTTGGCATTGATATTGAAAATTAAACTGATCGTGCAAGAAAACTCTTTTATTTATGGATAGTGAGCATATGAAGCCATTTATAATCACATAATTGTTTTGGCTACTTTTTAAACCATAATGATAACATAAATCACCCAAATGGCCCTGATCAAAAGTTGACATACACTGGAATGCTTGGCCTTGGTACAGACACAAAAAGGTTAAAATGGCAATTAAAGATTCATTTCCTACTTCTTGGCTTTTTAAATTGCAATTAGTGTCTGTGTATAAGAATAATCAGTCAATGAGTTTGTTAGCTCTCATGTGGATGCACTGAGCAGGCTAGATACTGAGCCATAGGGATCAGAAAACAAGTGTCAAAAGACCTGCAAAACAAGGTAATTAAACTTTTTAAAGATGGAAAAGGATGTAAAAAGGTATCCAAAGCCTTGAATATGCCAGTCAGTACTGCTGAAGAAGTGGAAAATTTGGGAATCTCTTGATACCAAGCCAAGGGCAGGTAGACCAAGCAGGATTGCAGCCACAACTGACAGAAGAATTGTTTGGGATAGAAAGGAAAACCCACAGGTAACCTCAGGAGAAATACAGGTTGCTCTGGAAAAAGACTGTGTGGTTGTTTCAAGGAGCACAATATGATGATTCTTGAACACAAATGAGCTGCATGGTCCAGTTGTCAGAAAGAAGCCTTTACTACATCAATGCAACAGAAAAGCTTGGTTACAATATACCCGACAACACCTTTACACTCTTCACAGCTTCTGGTACACTGTAATCTGGAGTGATGAGACCAAAATAGAGATTTATGGTCACACCTATAGTTTTTATTTGGAGTCAACAAGGCCTATAGCAACAAGAAATACCATCCCCACTGTGAAATGTGGTGGTGGCTCACTGATGTTTTTGGGGGGGTGTAAGCTCTAAAGGCACATGGAATCTTGTGAAAATTGATGGCAAAATGAATGCAGCATGTAATTAGAAAATACTGGGAAACAATTTGCATTCATGACTCTAAACACAAGGTCAAGTTGACCCTCCATTGCAGTGATTACAGCAGAAAAAGGTGAAGATTCTGGAGTCTCCATTGCTGTCTCCTGACCTTAATATCATCGAGCCACTAGGTAGATCTCAAACATGCAGTTTATGCAAGACGACCAAAAACTTTGCATGACCTGGAGGCATTTTGCCAAGACGAATAGGCAGCTATACCACCTGCAAGAATTCACAGCCTCATAGAGAACTATTACAAAAGATTGCATGTTGTCATTGATGGTAAAGGGGGCCTGAGACAGTAGGAACTGCATTAGATGGTGATGATGTTGCAGAGAGTAATAAAATTGTTTATTCATGGAACATCATCATAGAGGTTAAAGGGAGATCTGAGGGTAACTTTGGTCATATCTTTATAAATCCTTTTAAAGTAGTATTAAACCTCAAACCAAAAATGTAACAGATTGCAGCTTACCAATCATCAGATGTGGTGGCTGCATTACATTTTGGTGAACTGAAACTTTTCTTTGCGGGTAGACCTAATTAAACAAAATATATATATTTCTGCATGGACTGGGTCTCTCCAAGGGCTTATGTGACCTTTACTGGCAGTCACATGATGTTGGGGTGAATCTAATAGTCATTATGCCTATTGCATGAATTTTTTCTAGAGATATGGCTCATAGCAGCCAGCAGTATTTCAAAAAGTGAGTGGGTTCAGACACATTAAAGACAAAAACTATAAAAAAGAAAACAAACAAAATAAGGAAAAGTTAAAGGCAAACACATTCTTTGAAAATACCATCCAAAATAAAACATTTGATAACCTAGCCTTTGAATTGCAGGGCAGTAGAAACCACAATTGCAGCAATCAATTTTAGAATAGAGAACAAGGCATCAAGGACTCTTTGCCTTGACTTTGCTATTTTAGTAACAGTTGACCCCTACATGACTGTCCTGCTCATGGTGTTTACGTATTCCCATGTCCGCTACCCTTTTATTATTTATATCCTAACAATATACTCTGTTGATGTTATGATTTCTCCCGTTGTTTGTAGTATATATATATTTATATTTTTTATATCAGTATGACTTTTAAGCATCGTGCGGTTTGAGACCACTCAGTGTGAGAAGACCATCTACTTTTTATTTGCTGGCTTACAGAAGAAAAAATACTTTGACCATCTGTTAACCATGACTAATAGGAAGCAGAGGCATTTTCAATGATTAATTATATCTAAGGTGTTAATCGGTTTTTAACTGACACAATGCATTAAACTGTTACAATTATATCCTCTAGCTGTAAATGCTATGCCAAACTAATGCAACAAGGGCACTTTTTGGTACAAGGTCAGGTTTAAACTATGACACTGATAATGTCTAAAAACCATGTTTATATTATAGTATTCGTTTTTGTAAACTAAAAGTAGCTATCCTAAGTAATGATTACAAAATCTGCAGCGACGTATGGCACACAAAAGCCTAAACTAACGTAGCTGTGCTTTGTTACTAAAGCTTGACCTTCTTTGGCTTCATGGCTAAACCCTGTCATTGTTTTATTAGGCTTCCTTTGTGGACAGTAAGGGCAATCTTCTGGAAATGAAGATGGCAGTTGGTGGAGCTTAGCCACTGAGTCAAGGTCAATCAGCCCCTATAACATAATGAAACAGAATTTGTTTTCTGGCTAATAGCATACATTTTGGGGTGTCTTCCCTTACGTAGAACTTTTACTTCTAAAATGAAGCACAGGTTCAATTTATGTCCTAGTGGCCAAGGGAGTGCTTTTCTGAGTAACTGCTAGCTCTTTATCAGAGCAAGCAACTGACCAAAAAAAATCTTTGTAGAAAATTTGTAAGCAAAAACATTTTAGGTGCAATCCATTTTAAAGTGAGCAAATGAAAGAATTTTACTAATTGTCAATCAAGGAAATTAACCCAGATGGCTTATTTAGTAAAGAAATAAGCAGTTCGTGAAGCCAAAAAAGACATAATAGAAATTCCGAAGAGATAGGTAAGGCTAAAGTAAATTGAAAACAGAGTGGCTTGTGTGAATACAAAACTAGTGAGTTTACCACCAGCTATGACATAAAGATCTTCCACTATTGAACCTGGCCTTTCCACATCCTGAAGTCTCATTGCTTCCACTATAGGACCTGACTTTCCACACCTTGAAGTCTCACTGCTTCTCCAACTGTAGGGAAGGATTTATACCTTTCTATATTCTTAATAAATTAAATTGATATTTAAAAATGAGGGTAAGTCTTCCTTGTAGCAACAATGGTGAATGGGCAAAACTGGGAACTAACAATAAAAAATCTTAAACCTGCAGATAAAACAAACTTGAGAGTCATTTAAAAATACTGACATTTTTGAAAAATCCAGCATTTTTGGTATTTTCCAAAAACCAGAATAATAGTTTTGAGTGGGTTGATTTTAAATTTGCCAAATATACATTATAAAAAAAAAAAAACTATGTATGTGAATATAGTTTAGCTCGAGTCGTTTAGGCCCCATTTCAGACTAAGTCACCAAGATGTTGGAATGTAGCAGTAAAATAGCCTACAGTCGTCTGATTTGATTATGCCATGGAGAACTAAGAACAAAGCAGCATTAAAGTTTTAGAACACACTTCTCAAGTTACAGCATTGCCTGCTAAGTCATACTGCAGTGGGCTCTACGCACTTGACTGTGCCAGAAGACAATATGCAAAAGTAATTATAGATTGCTCGGAAAACATTCCTGCACACAGAGACTTTTCTGGAGATAAAAGTATATGGACTGAAGAAAAACCATTGCTTTCACTCGCAATATGAATGTCTGTAGAAAGTTATTTTAAGGGCATTGAGCATGATTGAACACAAAACATTGCATCTTTTTCTATTTAACAGAGTTCCAGGTGTCTTTCATTCCTAACTTTCATTGACATTTTATGGTTGATTTTATGGAAGACTAGTTTAGTTTTTCAAGCACCCATTTTGTCTCTGTAAACCTGAATATAACTCATTCACCACTTCTGTGTGTGGTCTCCTGTCTAAAGCAATATGCCGAGTGTCTAAGCTGTTTCAATATAACTTAAAATTCATCTCCCCTTTCAGAAGATCCTAAAGAACTATAGGAATGAGCAGACAAAACAACGTCATTCATAGTTTATTTCAACTGACCATTATACTGCAGAGTATTCTATGATTATGCAGCTGCTGGGGTTTTCCTAACTAACTTTTTGGCCCTTTACCTACAAAAATTGAAAAATAGATGCAGTCTTTTTATTATTTTGATTCCATTATTATAACATGCTTTGTTCATAAAAGAGCCATATATCTCAGCAGCAGTACCGTAGACACCATTTATAAACTGGAATCTCTCCCCAGATTTACAGCTGTTGACATTTCCTTGGCTGTTATATAAAACCTCACACATCAGCCATGATTTTTAATCCAA